TGGGGGCGGGGCGAGCATGGGGGCGGGGCCGGGAGGGACTGGTGGGGCGGGGCGAGCATGGGGGCGGGGCCGGCCTCGGAGCCGGGGCCCGCTGGCGGCCGGCAGGGGCGTCACTGCGCGGCGGGCCGGCGAGGCCGCGGCATGGGGCGAGTGCAGCTGTTCGAGATCAGCCTGAGCCACGGCCGCGTCGTCTACAGCCCCGGGGAGCCTCTGGCTGGGACCGTGCGCGTGCGCCTGGGGGCGCCGCTGCCGTTCCGAGGTGGGCGCGGGTCCTCGGGGAGGGCCGTTGGCCGCACCTGCGCGGGGCCGGGGCTCCCGGAAGCGGCTGCCGTCGCGGGGCCGGGGGTTGGGCCCGCGGAGTCGCCGTCGCCGCCGCCCGGGACTGCTGGGGCGCGGGCTCTGCGGCGCCGCCCTTCCGCGTCTGCTCTTCCTGCCCTGTCGCCGGGGGCAGCTGGGTCCCGGCGGTGCCTGAAGCGGGTCCGCTGGAGCCGCCCTGAGCCGGGCGCACGCAGGCCTGCGCCCCTCCGGGTCCGCGCTCGCACCTGCCGGGCGCCTTCCCGCACCCGGGCCCCGCGCCCGTTGCAAAGCGGCTCCCGGGAGGGCGCAGGCACCTGCTGCGGCTCCGCGCGCCCCCGTCCCCAGCTCGCAGGCCTCGGGGCCGGCCCGCTGCCGAGGCGGCCGGCGGGACTGGGGATCGGGTTGCTGCAGTGGCCGCTGGCCGCGCGCCCCGGAGGTGAGGCTGCCTTCCGAGCACGGGCCTCCGCGCAGGCCTCTGCCTGGACCCTGGCCGTGGGTGCCGCGTCCCCGCCGGGGGCCTCTCTACCTCGGCCTCCTGTGGAAACCACCCGGGCTGCGCTTCCCGCTGGACCTTGACCGCTGGGCCTCCGCGTCGGTGACAGCACCGCTGTGCCTGCCGAGGACCCACAGCCTCCGTTCCGTCCTCAGCCGCCTGCGGCAGGTGCTGGTGCTGCGGCCCCGCCCCCGCCCCTGCCCCGCCTGAGGCTGTGCGGCCCGGGAGGAAGCCAGGTGGTAGGCGCTTCTGCCAGGCTCCTGGGATGACCCCACGGCCTCCGTTTCTCTGTTCGCACCTTGAGTTTGGGGTCGGGGGGGGTGCAGGTGTGGCTGTGGCAGGGCAGAGATATCACACGCATCCCTTGGGTACACGTGAGGTGTGAGGTGAGGTGGGCTGGATCCTAGCTGAGGGGAGCACCCCGCCCTGCCGTCCCTCCCCTGGGGCGGCCTGGGGCGAGAAGGCTATTGCTGACCACAGGGAAAGGACGGCCTCGCGGTGCGTGACTGGCCTGAGTGGGCAGGCTCCCCTGGGCTCCCCTGGGCTCCGCGTGGACATGGCGGATGGGTGGATGCATGGACGCGGTGCACGCCGGTAAGGCCAGTACTTTGGGCAGATGGCCCAGGAGCTGAGGGAGCCCTGGCTGATGGTCCCACCTTACAGAGGCTGGTCTGAGTGAGGGAGAAAAAGGAGGGGCATCAGCGAGGGAGTAGAAGGGCCCTCATGGGCTAGAGAGCTGATGATTCAGGCCGTGGTGGAGGGCCGTGCCCAGGCCCCTTGGGGGTTTTCCCCAGCCCTGCCGGGGATGGGAACAGAATGACCCTGGTTTCTTTTCCTCATTCAAAGGATGCTTGTCTGTCCTGCTAGGAGCTAGTAGGGAGGCCCTCCACCCCCAGGAGGACAGCAGGCCTGCCTGGCCCCAGGGCTTGCACACTGATTCTGTCCGATGAGTGTCGGTAACAGTCAGCACTCAGACATGAGGACACCGGCTGCCTTCAGGGCTGATGCAGAGGGAGGCCCGGGAAGGAGCAGTTTTCTGTATCCCAGGCTGGCCCAGTCCAGGGCTGGGGGACAGACAGGACCACCCCGTGTTCTGCTGTTACTGGGATGGGCGACCAGGGCTGACAGTGGCTCTTGGAGCGCTCATGTGTGGGCATGATGCAATTCTCTGCGTCCCACTGGCCAGCCTTGGTCACCCTCAGCACCCTGGGGAGTGGTACGGTTGTTACTCTCAAGATGCAGATTTGGAAACAGGAGAGGGGAGTGGCTCACAGGTCACAGCTTCTGTGGCAGGCGTGAGGCCTGTGGGATGAGGATGAGGATGAGGATGAGGATTGGGTGGGTCTTCATGGTCCAATTGCAGGTAGTGCAAGGGAAGGGCTGCTGAACAGCTAGGGGCCCGACTCGAGAAGAAAGTTCCAGTGGTTACTTGAGAACACAGCCGGTCTTGATCTTCCTGAGAATCAAAGCAGCCCACAGCCTCCAACAGTGCGTCTCAACACGCTTAGGAAAGCTTTTTGTTTTAGAGACGGAGTCTCACTCTCTCGCCCAGGCTGGAGTGAGTGCAGTGGCGTGATCTTGGCTCACTGCAACCTCTGCCTCCCAGATTCTAGCAGTTCTGCCTCAGCCTCCTGAGTAGCTGGTACTACAGGCACACGCCGCTACATCTGGCTAAGTTTTTGTATTTTAGTAGAGACAAGGTTTCACCGTGTTGCCCAGGCTGGTCTCAAACTCCTGAGCTCAGGCAAATCCACCCTCCTCGGTTCCCCCAAAGTGCTAGGATTATAGGTGTGACTCACCGCACCCAGCCAGGAAATTTTTTTTTTGAGACAGTCTCACTGGTTCACCCAGGCTGGACTGTAGTGGTACCATCTCAGCTCACCGCAGCCTTTGCCTCCCGGGTTCAAGCAATTCTCCTGCCTCAGCCTCTTGAGTAGCAGGTGCAGGCCACCATGCCTAGCTAATTTTTGTATTTTTAGGAGAGATGGGGTTTCACCATGTTGGTCAGGCTGGTGTTGAACTCCTGACCTCTCAATCTGCCTGTCTTGGCTTCCCAAAGTGCTGGGATTACAGGCTTTAGCCACCGTGCCCAGCTGGAAACATTTTTTAAACCTTCATGAGGGAGGAGGGATGGGGCTGCAGGGCCCCTGCAAAGAGTTGCAACCTTCAAGTCCAGAAGGCGGAAGAAGTCACACTCTGACTAGGTGACTGCCGCTGAGCCACGCAGTCCTGCAGCCAAGCCCTGCCGGGAGGCTTTCCTGTTGCAAAAGGCTAGGTTCCCGTCAGCCTGTGCTACCATCACAAGCAGTCTGCAAGCTGGAAAGAAGAGGGAGTGAGGACGCATGTCTCTCCAGCAGCAAGGAGACCCCTCACAATGGGCCCCATGCACTGCTCTCACTTCTCTGTGGGCAGAACTGCATCTTGTGGTCCTTCCTGATTTGATGATTTAAAAGAGAGAAACATGGCCAGGCCGGGCGCAGTGGCTCACGCCTGTAATCCCAGCACTTTGGGAGGCCGAGGCGGGTGGATCATGAGGTCAAGAGATCGAGACCATCCTGGTCA